CGATTAATCTTCAACAAAAATTATAAACCATTGAATTATTTACACGTATTTTTATATTCACTCTCAGCTATTCCCCTTTCTTACAATTTTACAGTTACTTATCATCCTATGTATTTATATATATTTACGTATATATCTTTATCTATCTAACTATATGATGGGTTTTTTTGCATGACTGTTATAAAATACATTTAGTTCAAAATTATCAAGACAACATTGAGCCCAGCATTTTGTGTAAGGAACCTAATTCCATCCATAACCAGGACAGCAGGCAAATGGAATGCTGCAAAACTCAATTCTGCAGAAAACAATCTCTCCTACTGACTCACACCCATGAACCAGAAATATTTTACTTTTCAATACATCACACTTTATGCAAAGCAGACTTTAAGAATCAGCTGTCAATTATCAGCTATAATAACATATTATTCTCTAAAAGTATTTAAATTTGTAATTTATACAACTAGAGCACTAAACCAAAGAGATACAACAAACATCCCAAACAGTGCTGTCCCCATTCAGCACCGCACACCATTGAGCTTTATAAAGAGCTTTTTGGTGTGGCAACTTTCCCTTGTCTTTCCTTTTCTATTAAAAGGAAAGAGAATCCACATTGTTTTCTAAAATGACAATAACTTATTTCCAGCTGTCTCCAAGACATTAAAAGTGGGATTCAAAAATTTGAGAATTCCTATGGTGATTTATTTTAGTCTGTTTTTTCTTCTGTTCTTTACTTCATCTGAAGAGCCCATTAGTTTCTTACAACTAAACTCAAGTTGGTCACTGCAGGAAACAGGTTAGTCATGTTCATGAGGACAGCGTTAACATCCATACAGAACTGTACAATGGTCCAATAAGAATTAGAATGTCTGTCAGAAGAATATTGTATTCTTACCCTTACTGTAGAGAGCCACTGGTGGTACAATTTGTCGCTACCTAGAGAGAATCACAAAACCAACCAAACAAACTGTAACTCTCTACCAAATAGAAAACAAGCTAGAAATGTGAAGTTAGCACTTAGTGGTTCCAGGAGCACGAACAGTACAGAAATAGAACAGGACAACCATCCTTTTCTTTTAATGGAAACACAACACCAAAAAATTGATGAGATATCTACAATTTTTCTTTTACTTGCTAAGGGGCATTTCTATTTTATCAGTGTTGTCTTTCAGACATTTGAAAACACTGAGTGTTTTTTTAAGATCACTAAAAGAAATTTGAGGTGGTTCCAGGTAAAGTCAAGGTTTTTCAATACCCTCCACTGCAAGAACTCTTTTAGTTGTACTTTAGCCAAGCGGTAAAGCTGAAGTTTTTTAAGACTGAACATACTTTACTCAAACTACAATACATTACTCAAACAAAGTTCTTGACAGAGGAAAGAACAAAAATTTAAGACAGTTCAACCTACAGGGATCACTGTAGCCTCATTTATTTAGGGGAGTAAACACAAAGACTCACTACATCAGGATGGCCCACAAACAGCAAGTCAAGAACAATGTCTGAAATTACTTTAAAATACTGTATTTCTTACCTGCATATTCTCCTGTATTTATTTCTTCTTCAAAAACATCACTGAAGCCCTCGCCAGAGTTAAGAAGATCCAGACGGCCATCGATGAACTACATCAGTGTTAAAAGAGAGTGTAAACAAATCAACCATCCCATCTTTTATCTTTTCAGAAAGACTTTATTCTGCATTTGCTAGAATAACCCCAATGTTCGTATCAGGGAGAGACTCTAAACAGAATGAAAATACAACCAAAACTGGCAAAATGTTTGCCAATGCAAAAAGGTATGCTGCTTCACTGAAAAAAAACCAAAACAGCATTCATGTGTTTGTCTATATACGCAAGTTTTCAGCTTCCTTGAAGCAGTAGTATCATGTTAACAGTAATATGCTTTCTGTACAAAGTTTACAGCAAATATACTGGGTCTAGGTATGCTTAGATCAAAACTGAGCACAGAGACCTTTAGGGGAAAAAAAAAATACACCTCTTAAAATACAGAAAGCCTTATTTCACCTGAAAGTGAGAACAGCCAGCAAGCAGGAATTAAGGTGCTGCCAACTACAGGAATTTTCCTCATTATGTGGCTGACAGATCAAGGAATATAGAACAGCCCTCCAAAACCACAGTTGTATTGTTAAAGAATCTGCTTCTACATTAGAGCAATTAAGTCAGTACCTGCTTAAAGAGCTGGAGCTGAATGGCATTCTGCAGAAACTGCCTCATGACAGCAGAACGATGGGACACAAATGTTTCTTCACAAAAAGTGATGGGTTCACCCTGTAGAGTTCAGAGCAATAGACACTGAAAAAGCTTTGTCTGAATCCATTTGAACACACTGTCTCCATTGTATCTACTTCCCTTCCAAAACAAATAGATAAAGTAGGCCTTACGTAACTTTGAGTAAACTGTAGTTTATTTCCAGGTTTCAAACCTGTGACTGAGAAACAGGTTGGAAACTGGCAAATTGCTTTTCATCAAAATAAAATACATTTGCTTTACACACATTTTGCTAACGCTGGTGAAGGAATTGTCATAATCCAAAAAGGTAATTTTGCTTAATGTCCACAGAATACGACAAAGTCATCTGAATTTTATATATTCTGCTTATCTGCCTCAGTAGACCCGGCCAGTTAACCTACACAAACAAGTCAGGAATGTCTACTGTGTCCTCTCCATGGTTCAGAAAGATTAGACTTTCATACACTGAATGAGTGAAATTTCTCTTTTTCACAACCTTGTTGGCAAAAGGCGGAAATTGTTTTGCAGCTCTACTTTTATCTTATTTTAATGGGTTATGTTAATCCTGAAGTCTGCTGTGCATCTGCTATAAGCGCACAAATTTCTTCCACACTTAAATCTACAAATACTCAATGAAGCAAGCAAATATATTTATTGAATTAAAACCAAGAAATTATCAAAGAATTATTATACTGACGTATAACTAATATGGAGGCTTTTTCATACTGATAATATATTTGGACTCTTCATGTGTTAAGTGTTCAAAATCAACATTAGATAGCAAAAATCAAACCACCCTCTTTAAAAGGGTGGTATCGTTCCATTTCTGAAAGCTTCTTATATTAGTAATCTCGTTTACCATTGGCTGTGTAAAGTCAGCATAACACGGCCACTGAAATGACTGTGCTCAAAAAAACCCAATGCCACAGCATTGCTTGAGCATATTAGTTTTTCATCACCAATCTATGTTGGAAGCCACCATGTGGCCCCAGGACTTCTAAAACCTAATCCACAATAAAAGGATACTAATTCCTCAAAAGTATGGGCAAACTGTGATAACACCCACATTTCTTAAAATCCCTAGGTATTCACCTTTTTCCCCGAGTTCACAATCGATCAGACTTCCTCACTGATACATTTCCTACTGACGTCTGGTCCTGCTCCAGAGCTTATCAACCTGACGGCTGATAGGCACTGCCGATTGCCTGTCCTTTGACATAAACGACCTTGCCATTGTAACTACATGGTGCAAACAGTTCTATCGGGTTTTAATGTAATTTATGAGGAAAGTGAAGGAAATATTTGACTTCAAATAATCAGACCACAGTAAAAAATTTCTTTGTGGCCCCCAATGAACTGGACAATCAGAATCACCAAGGCGATACACCGTGTACCCCACCTCTAACCCAGCAGTCAACAAATGCTAGAGGTCACAAATTGCTCTTAACATGAGGAAAAGGATCAACTGCAAGGGACTGCCTAAGCACAGGGTGGGCCTCTTTCAAAGAGGGAAGAAGTCACTCTTAGGGTAGTTTCTGTCACCCTTTCCTTGGGCCAATGAATTTCCATGGTTTTGGAAAAGAAGGCAGGTTTCTTATGTGACAGCTACAGTTTCAGGATAATTTTAAAGATAATAGCCTGTCTTTGATTTACTCCAGCAGGTATTTATAGGGAAAAACAAAATCACTACAATCTCTCTGGGTAAGAAACATGAGTACGAAAAAACAGCTTTTTTAACTTGTCGTTTTGCTCTCATCAGGATAAAGAATCATAAGAGACTTTGTTTCGAAGTAAACAAATGAAAAATGTTTGGAAAAACAGGTCTGGCTGGTATGTGCCTGGTATACAAGACACTGATGGCAGTCTCCACTACACACAGACTACTGCCATGACAAATGTTCTGTCTCAAAACTCAGGGTATGTATTGTCTGAAAGGTTTTAATGCATTTAAATGACTAACAGCTGATCATGCACACATGTTAGTACATGGCAGAAAGGGACAGAACTTCTGCATGACAGGAAAGTGTCAAAAAAAGACTTTGAGGAAGAGGTAACCTGGCAAATGGAAAAAGCCATTAGTTGATTTAGAGATGGGACTGACAATTTGGACTAATATAAGCTCCCCATCCAAGAACTTCATATATCATATTCAGCTATTGCCATCCCACCTGAGATTTGTTTAAACTCTCTCTGAGGTACCAGGAAGGAAGAGTCAGGATACTACAGAGCACTACAATTAGTAAGAAAAAAATCTTAGGAGATTGCAAATGCATCTGTTACTACAGAAACTGTAGCGACAGACACTTTCCAGGCAACAGTACAACAACAGGATGTAACATCTACTTGACCAGTATGAAAAAGGCTTTCCCATCAAATTCAGCTACCAGAACGTAACAAAGGGTGCCTGAAAAATATTTGTCTGACATAGATACAATCTGGAGTGTGAAAAGAGCTGGGAGGAATACATGAAGAAAAGTGTAGATTAGTCCATGATCAGAGAAGAAGTTCACCAGAGGAAGGTTTAGCTTTCATTTAATCCTCACTTAGAAAACACTTTAAAGGAAACAAGCAACCCTTCGTATAATCTACAAGAATCCAAAATTTCTCCCATGGTCAGAGAAGAGTATGAACATTGTGGAAAGAACTATGCCCTGCCAAGCATAAGCTTCCCCTACTCCATTGTCCATCCAGCACAATGACACCAGCTTCTCCTCTCACAATTGAGCTATGTACCATTCCTATAAACACACATATTGCACCTGGGGGAGCCCAGTAGTATTATAGTGTTAACACACTTCCTTCACCAAAGTACTAATGATTGAGTTTGTTCATTAGGTTGATTAGACCTTTTGACTTCTTAAGAGACAATTCAGGCTTAACTGCTGCTAGACGATAGGAAAAACTTTAATCATCAAGGTCAAGCGTGAGCTTTTCAGCTTAGAATGCATTAGTACCTTCCATCCTCCATGACCTCCAGAAGGGTGAACACACTGTTGCTAACCCCCATCCACAGCTTCATTACAAAAAGACAAGCTGGACAATAAGACCATTTTCTTGACAGATTTAGTTAACTGTAAATTATAAAGCTAATCAGCTCTGCTTTTACTGACAGATGACATTATACACAAGGGGACATGCTAAGAACTGCAGATATTTTGTGAAATGAATGGTCTTGCTCACATGTAAAAGAATTATAATAACTTGTCCTGATAAACCCATCAACTGTTTCCAACAATTAGCATTTAGGCCTTGATTCGTCAGCACCTTAAATATCCATTACTCCCCTCGCCAACTACAAATGCATAACAGAGGCTAAGATAGGGCATCGCAAATGCGCTAAATGTGCGCACAACTCGATCCTGTGAGGAATCTGATTTGATCTGTAATGTTAGATAATTCACTTGTATTTCCAGATTGGATCAGAGATTTTTTTTTTTAATAAAAAAATGCACACATTTCAAAGACATTTAATCTGCACTCTTAACACAAGAGAAGTAACTTTAAAATATAAGACTAAGATTTAAGGCTCCTAGATGCATTGAAAAAATAGGTGCCTTTTCTTTATGCCTTTGCAAATCTCCCTTTCTACGAGTATTTTGTATTCATATGGCATAATGAAGTTCATCAGGGCAGTGCTGCTATCTCCTGACCCCTTAAAAAGCTGAAAAGTTTCAGTCCACACCTGATCTGTTGCCAGCCCTATTTTTAAATCTGAATTCTGTCACACTCTAAAATAATGTTTAAAACTACTTAAGGCAGCAAGTGAAAAAATGAAAGGAGTCTAGGGCTTATTTCAGACTGTTCTAGAGTTTCATGAAACCTGCTGTTATATATTAAGAAGCCATAAGGCAAATTGAAAGATAAAGCCCAATTTTGACTAGCTATGCTGTAAAAATGTCACCATGACCCTCCATCTTTCAAGAAAATCGCTTTTCCTCAGAAAGAAAAACTTTCTTTCAGAAGAGGGTACAGGACCTCACGCAGACAGTTACTGTCAGTGAGAGAAGTATCATATCTGAATTGTCCGACCTACAACACACGCAGACAGGCCAGCTAACTGGTTATGGCAATAACCTTCACAGTGAATATAAGGGACTAAAAATATGTGGGACAGAAGACAGCACTGATTAGAGAAGGACTTGGAGGAAGGGACAGAGGCAAACACAAATGATACTTCTGGAAAGACAGACAGGTGCTACAATAACTCATGTTAAGTCTAACTATTCCCAGTCCTGCAAGAGAGGAGACACCAAAGTGTGCATCTGGATAACGGGGCTTTAAAGTCAGCCTGTGACTGCTGGAGAAATCACTAAGATAATACAGACAGGGTTCAAATTAGGTCAACAGCGAGAGTCTCCTGCACACACAAAGATTTTACAAAACTTGATTCTAAGGTTAAAAAAAAACCAAAAAAAACCCAAAAAAAACCCCAACCAAAACCCAACAACCCAAACCTGAAGACTTTGTTTAGACAATCCTAAAAGTTATGCCATGGAAGATATTACATATATCTTCTGCATTATCATGGTCAGCGTGAGGTACCCGGTAATGAATTTTGTGCTGCTGTATGCATGCCTTTAAACTATGCAGGTGCTCTTTCAAAGCCTCTCTAATAAATACACAAGCCATTAGAGCTGCTCTGTAAACCAGTCGTGACATGAAAAAATGTGGGTGGAACTTAAAGGTGCAGCACAAGATCACAAACTGACAGTCTACAAGCTGTAAGTCTAGTGTCAGTATACTATGCAGCAAACCCCCAAATATACAGCAAGAACAAGGACATGCAAGAGATTCATATATCACTGTTTTATTACTACCTAGATGTTGCAAATAACCACATCCTTTACTAAAATTGGTTATGTTGCAAATGACAAAGTAAAGCCTGTAGGGATATTCTAGGAATCATCATCCTTAATTCCATCCAGAATTATAATGAAACTAAGATAGGAGAATGATCTTACTGATCTGGATATGTATGTCAACGTCAGATGCAACAGCAACCAAAAGCAAGGAACTGCTCTGCAGACCTTTCAAGAATT